AATTTTAAAGACAGAACAAAATATGTGGAACAAACCAGGGCCCATTCAGGAGTATTTGTCCATGTGCTGTAGATAAAACAGAAGCATCCTTATATTAACCTCCCTGCAGAGATTTTTGTCCTGAGAGCATGCTGTCTCAAGTCCTTAACCCCTTCCACAGGGTCCTGCCATCCCCCACTTGTTCCCCCACTATCAGTTAGAGTCCCACCTTCCTCTTCTCGTTGTTTAAGGTTGTGAGTGTAAACAAATACTCAGGGTTGAAGAAGTGTCTACACCCAGCTTCTTAAAAGCTTTTTGGATAGAACTTTATTACAGTTTACATTTATAATGATGCAGGAAATGGCAAAATAACTTGTGCAGTACTCTTGTAGGTGTTGGGGCACTGTGAACAGACGGGATCAAAGGGCGGGTGGTGGGGGGAATGGAAATTGTTCTCGAGGCAGGACAATCATTTAGACATCACAATGGTAAGGAACTGCTTTCTAATTATAGCCCCTGGAGTTTGGGGTGGGGGTGTAGACATAGTCCCATTATGTCAGTGTTAATTGAAACCATGAGAATGCAACTCTCTTTGGCACGGGAGCTATTCATTTTCATGGTGCATGGAACCACTCGTGCATTCTTCAAAGACCACAACAGACTTCACCCTTCCAGGCAAAACTGCTGCTAGAGCAGGTAAATAAGCAATGCATCATGAACCATGACAAATAACGAAGGGCTAAGTCATACAGAGATGTATAGTGCCAGGGTGCTTGTGAGCCATTTGTTGCTCATTAAAGGCACTTAAGCTGCAGTCACTCCACGTTTGGGCCCAAAAAATCTGAAGCAAGGCAAGGATACTTGGACTGAGCCATGACTCTCCCTTGAAGTTAGCTTACTGGTGCTGATGGTCTTTAAAAGGCTTAGTGATAATCAAGTCATTGCTCAGCATTTAACTACAACCCTTGTGTGGCAAAAGTAATCTGGAAAAACAGGGCATCCACTTCCAAAGAGAGAGTGGGAACATGTTTAAGTATGCGGTAACTAACCCAAGACCCCAGTGCTTCTCATACTTGACTTTCAGAGACATCTTCGTAGATGAGGTGGGTGAGGTGACTGTCTTTAATGTTCTCCACTCTGAGTGGTCTTTTCCAAGCCCAAGGTAATTCATTCTACTTGACACCAAAAGAAGGAATGTCTAGTTCTTGAGTTGCTCTAGTCCCACCTGCAGACAACCCTTGGACAGCAACTGCAGACTTTGTTTCCACCATGTACAACTTGAAATAAGGTTTTGATAGTCGGATCATTTACTGTCTTCCCCATACCACTGTATCTTAAATTAAAATCTATTTGGTAGTCATACTCCAGAAATTAAGGTTAATAAGTATTTCCTCAAATATCCAAGTGTTCCTTACATAATTCTAGCCAGAAACATTGCATAGATGAGAAATTTTTCAATAATTTGTGTTTTAACTCCTTTAGAAATTGACCTGATGCCAGAGTATCTTATCCTTGTGTCATTTAGATAGCATGACCCAACGTAGTTGGACAGTTTGATTTCAAATCAGTCCTTAAGTCTAGAAGAAGCTCAGTAGGGAAGCAAAACAGTACTAAAAAGTTTCCAGTTACAAATTCAACTTTTCAAGTAGACACAAAAGAGTATTTTTAACTAAACAATTGGCAAGCAATGTTTACTCAAAGTAAATTAAGCCTTATACCTTGTATTCATTGTATTCTCATATAACTATGCAAACATCTCTTACGCCGATATTAGAAAATACAATGAACATAGACTACAGATCAATTCTGAAGCAAATTTAGGGTTATATTTAGAAAGGAACTTTCTCAAACAACAATACTAAGGTACACAGGAAATCTCTTGCTTAAAAAAAAAAAAATTCATACCAGAAATTGTGACTCTTTTGTTCTGAGTCACATACTCTTTATTGTATAGTTAAGGGAGTTTGAATCTTATATACAAAAGCCAATCTTATGGATTTCCCACCATGAATTCTGAGAACCATGTCAAGAAGAATGGGACACAGGGAAGCCACAACTGCTCCCTTCTCCCTACCCTGGGAGGTGGGGTAGGATGGACAACAGCAAGCCTTCTAAGCCCTTGACTTTCTAAATCTGCAGTGAGGGGACCTAAGTGGCTCAGTTGGTTGAGTGACTGTCTTTGGTTCAGGTCATGATCCTGGAGTCCCGGGCTCCCTGCTCAGCAGGGGGTCTGCTTCTCCCTCTGACCTTCCACCTCTCATGCTCGCTCTCTCATTCTTTCTCTCTCAAATAAATAAAAATATTTAAAAAATAAAATAAAAATAAATAAATCTGCAACGAAGAGTCTCTAAATCACTTCCTTGTTTCATCTACTGCCTTCCACCATGAGCTGGAGTTTCTGGAACCTCAGCTCTCTGAAGCGGGGCTCCCACCTAGCAAAGTGAAGTGAACCAGACTTCTGCTGGCTTGGTCTCCTCTTCCCAAGAACTGAAAGACGGATGGCTAATGGAAAGCAACCATTTTTTAGATGCTTGTAAAGGACGTTCTACTTCATGCCTTTCTCTTTGGCTCAAGTGTCTCTCTCTCTCTCTCTCTCTCTCTCATTCAAAGCACACAGCCCTGCCTCCCTGCCTGTTCAGCTGAGGATGAACACAAGGACTTGTTGGTGTGTTGGGTGAGCTACCATGTAAATAACTGTGCCTTGTTTCAGGGCTCTGAGATGAGCATCTGGAGGATTCCTAATGATTGCTGAGGTTGGCCGAAGTTCAGGAATCAGATTATTCCTTTAATTATAACCGTCACCCCTGCTCAACTTGCTCTCACCCACCATTTATAAGGAGAGTATCAGGAAGAAAAGGAGTCAACAAGAACATGTTGGAAAGAACTGCCGTTCCCTGAGAGTTCAGGTGCCTGGAGAGGAGAGGGAATACACAGACCTGCCAGAATGAAGGTGACCAATCAGCTAAGCCTCCTTTCTCACCCAGTCCTGGGATGGAACATCCTAGAAACACCTACTTCTGATGGTACACAATTCTTTAGAATCTCACCTTCACTGGACTAACCTCAAAGTTTCCTCTCTAACTAGGGTAACCCGGAAGCCTGGTATGCTCAAGGCAGCCCTGGTTGCCTCAAACTTAGCGGTACATGCTGTCTGGGTGGGACTGCTAATAAGCACCTCACGGTTTAGACAGCAAGCATCCTGGTTTGGACCATACATTCCTTGGTCATCCGAACTCTAAACGAACTCTCTCATAGGCCATCAGATTGATATTCCAGTTGTCTGACCACTCCCTTCAGGCCTCAAAACAAGGAGCTCCTTGTCCTTCTGTCTGCAAGTTTTTGAGCGAACAGATTATAATCTGGCTTTTCCTTTGAGAGCTGAAATGTAACAGCACCAAGATCAGTCTTCCTAAGGTAACTTGCCCCAGATTACTGTTTCTTTGCTGATATCAAGTCATGGAAGGGTAGAGGAAGAAAGGCCTTCAGGAAGTTTTCAAATTTCATTTTTTTTCTGAGGGAGCAGGGACTGAAGGAGCCAGAGAACTTTTTACTCCCTTGAAATCTTGCCCAAAACTCTACTTTGAGGGGCACCTGGGTGGCTCAAGCAGTTAAGTGTATAATTCTTGATTTTGGCTCAGGTCATGATCTCAGGGTTGGGAGATCGAGCCCTGTGCCAGGCTCCACACTCGCAGGGAGTCTGCTCTAGATTTTCTCTCCCTCCCCCTGCTTGCTTTCTCTCTCTCTCAAAATAGATAAATAACATCTTAAAGGGATGCCTGGGTGGCTCAGTTGGTTAAGCGGCTGCCTTCGGCTCAGGTCATGATCCCAGCATCCTGGGATCGGAGTCCCACATCGGGCTCCTTGCTAGGCAAGGAGTCTGCTTCTCCCTCTGCCTCTGCCTGCCACTCTGTCTGCCTGTGCTCACTCTTGCTCTCTCTCTCTCTGACAAATAAATAAAATCTTAAAAAAAAATATCTTAAAAACAAAACAAAATAAAACAACCCTCTACTTTGAAAAGCGAGAAAAACAAAGCTTCTCTGGTGCAGCCAGGAGGGAAAGGCACAGAGGTGTAGTCTCCGTTCCAGGAAGGCTCCACCCGTCTCCCTTGCCTCTCACCTCTGGATGGAGGCCCCTGAACGACCTCCTTAGCTGGCTTCAGAGAACACTGTCCAGTTCTTTTACTTTACAAATGAGGGAAATGTGCCTCATTGCACCTGCTGTTGCCTACACAGTACGATTTCATTCTATCCATTGGTAACCCTTTATATCAACAAAGCCGCAAGTCAAGAGCACGGGGCACCCACTAACTGTCATAAAAAGCTCTGCCTTCTAAAGAGAGCTAGGTACACCTTAAAACAAGGAAACCCATACTAACGCATGTTCAATACAGCTCTAGACTGTAAGGCGGGGGCCCCAAACCCAGTCACTCAAAGCAAACAAACACGGAGCCCGCCTGCTTCTTTCTCTGGAGGGGAAGGAGAACAGAAGCTGAAGAGCATGGCCATGCTAAACCCACTTTGGGAAATTAAGATTCCAAAGTGAACATGCATTCTGCTTCCAAGAATGGCTACCAGAGAAAGCACTGGAAAGAATGACATTATGGGATGGTGTTCATCACAGCACGGTCTCTAACTCCAGGATGTACCTGTATCAGAACAAAGTGTGTGAGGGAAAGGCCAAGAGAAAGAAGAGAGCAGAATAGGAGAAAATGGTTATCCAGCCCATGGAATTCTATTGATTTTCCAACCTCCCAAACTTTCTCTTTTTAAACTTATTTATTTGAGAGAGAGACAAAGAGAGAGAGCACAAGCAAGACGGACAAAGGAGGGAGAGAATCCCGTGCAGACTCCCCACTGAGCGTGGAGCCAGACCCAGGGCTCCAACCTGCGGCCCGGAGAGCATGACCTGAGCCAAAATCAAGAGTCTGACGCCCAACCGAATGCGCCCCCTTAGCACCCCCCCAAACTTTCTTTTGAAATGAAACAACAGAAACAAAGGCGTGGGATGCAGAGAGCACTTACCACGGAGACTTTGCTCACTACGTCTCTCGCGACTGCTAAGCCTTGAGCAAAAGTACGGGCGGCGACGAATGCACGCGTAACCTGCAGCTTCAGTTTCCGAGGGACGTCTCCGAAGGGCTTCAGCTGTTCCGTGTACTTGCTCACGCACTCCAGATACTCGTCTGTGAAGTGGTACTGGGAGTTCACCAGGCGGAACATCCGCTCCAGAAGGCGAGCCCAGAAGTCACTTAGCATTTCTTCCAGGTTCACGCTTCCCGCCACGTAGTAGCGCTTCAGCTCTCCGAAGAGATCTTTAAATAGCTCAGAATTTTGCATGTATAAGCGGCCATAGGTCTTCACGAACATGTCATTCAGGGATTTCTCTGCATTTTCCAGTAGTTCTTTGAAGAATTCTAAAGACAAAAGAAAAAAAGGAAGAAAAGATTTTCAGTAATTAAGTAACAAAGTGTCTTTCAGGTCAGTTTGAAAGCTGGGGGAAAAAAATGACAAAATGAAATTGGAAAACACACTCATATATAAGGTGGATTTCTTTTCATGTCAGTGAAAGGAAATCCAGGTCACAAGCCACAAAGTCATGTACACGTGTTTACACCTAAGAGAGGGGGAAAATAATTATTTTAGACCAACAACTTCTCAGGAGTCAATATAAAATACACACACATGCATGTATGTACACACACGCGCGCGCGCACACACACACACATCTCTCGTTCAGTCACAAGGTAAATAAAGAGCTGGATAAAAATGGGTACATGAGATCTAAAACATGAGGCCTGCCAGAACTTTCTACAGCAAGAATCGAAACCAAAGCTAACGATGCCTCCTAACTGAAACCTGACACCCGGACAGGTATTTTCAAAACATGTTGTTTTACTCGGACCCATTTTTTTTTTCTTTTCTCCTTACATCTACGTGACATGCAAGAACACTGCCTAGTACATGCTGGAGGCCAAGAAACATAATGAAATACCACAAAAGCTAGTGCTGAGGTTTTCTGAAAAGAAGTTCTCAGGTGTTCCCTGTGACATTAGCACAAATTGGGGTATCCAAGTTGAACATGGGTTCTTAAAGGATTCATATGGTAACATCATGAGATTCTTTGTTGCGGGGAGAGGGGAAAAAAGGGGGGAGAAGGGAGAGGAGGGAGAGAGACACGCAACATGAAATCTGTGGTTGAGTCATGTATTTACAGGCAACAGGAAAATAACGGAGAAAAATACGTAAGAATACCTGGTTATTCCACATTTACTTTCTGGCCTGAATGCTGAAAGATTTTAATCTCTTAAGTACAAAGGGCAAATTAGGTTTTCCTGAAGCTTTTGTGAGGCAGTTCAAAGAAGGAAAGAGCTAATGGTGTATCTGTAACAATCATTCTTAATGAATCTGTGGCTGGTATAAAAATAAACACTTCAAGATATTAAGTTTACAAGCAGGGAATGTAATAAATACTAAAGCGAAATAGAAGGACCGCATTAAGAAAGTGCCTCCAAGAGAACATGGAGTAGAAGAAAAACTCTGGTGCCTCCTTTGAAGCCAGAAGAACATTAGCAATCTTCTCGAAATGCAATAGCATGGCAAAGCCATTATCCGTTATCTTCTCATGTCCGGCAGGCAAATAAATGAGAGGCTGAAAACTACTTTCCCGTAGTCTCTCAAAACTTGCACTGGAAACACTGTAAGCCTTTTGGAAGGGGTGTGGGTGACTCTGAGTACTTCCAAGAGCTTCCATACTTGTGCCCCCAGCTCATTACCACATGGTGACTTGAGCCCGCAAGGTCACCGTCTTCTGGGTTCCAGCTTCCCAAACTATGTGTGTTTTGTCTGTGGGGTATTTCTGCGGGGAGAAGGGCTCTTTCCTTTCCCTTCGGTTGAAGTTTCGCTTGTTTTGTATTTCCTGGGCGCTCTTCAAGGAGGAGAGAAGAAATGGATTCCCTCTGAAGAGCTAAAAAAGGGGGGCGGGGAGGCAGGGACCTGAGGAGAGGCCCGCAAGTCAACTCCTCTCCTCCATTACCAGCACAGCCTGGTGTTTTTACCCAAGGTCGCTCCCTGGAAGGAGACCAGAAAGTACGCAAGGAGCTAGGGGAACCATATGAAAAGCATTACTCAAATCAGGTGCCTGAGAGGCCTCTCTAATTCTCTCCAGAATCCCAAGTGATTCTCAAGTGCGGTCCCACGACAGGCCACCAGCAACACCACATCAGCAGGGCCCTTGTTAGAAATGCAAGTTCTTGGGCCCCACCCTAAACCCACCAGATCAGAGACCCCGGGCATGGAGCCCAGCCATCTGGGAATCCGGTTCCCCTAATGTTTGAGAACTGTTGTTCTAGCCAAGGAAACGTGTCCCATTTCACCCCTCAACAGCAATCAGCACCAGCTCGGGGCTGTGCTAAATATGAAGCATAAGGGTTAAGCGTTTTAATTAGAGGAAAACGTCTTTCCAATGACTTGGGGTTTTTTCCATTTTTTTCTTGCATTCTTGGGTGTGATTTATAATTTTTGGGGTGGGGGGGATAAATTTTCTTGAACGGAAGTCTCTCAACTAAGTGTCCAGAAGGCAGGTAGCACTTTCCTAGAATTCAAAGCTGGGGGGTGTTGGGGTAAGAAGCAACATGAAAGTGTCATCTGGTCCACTTCCCATACCTTGTTCGATTCCCTAGCAGCCCTGCCCTAGCTGCTGGTTCACTGGGGACACGATAAAGAAGGTACGCCAAGCCACGTCAGTACGCGTCTGGTAGGCTGCACACATACCTCGCACACACTGGGAAACTAAAGGTTGGTCACTGAGCTCTATCCGCGAGCCTTGTGTCAATCCCCTGCTATTAGTACTTCACAGTCCTGAAGAGAGGATTCCAAAGGTGACCATAGGTCCTTCCCTAATATTGGATTTTTATTATATTGCTCATAAAATAGGCACACATCATTTAGGGTAGAAGTAGGATGTTGGAAATTATTTGCCTTGTGCTTTGATGACTCATGTAATAAGGTACTCTGAATACACACTTGCATGTCTAGGGAATGGCACCCACAGTTGTATAGCTTTTAAGGGTGGGGGCAGGGAGGCATTTCAGAAGTGTTTTAATTTAAAACAGCTGTACAGTGTCAGAGTTCATTGTTCAGGCTCCAAAGGGCTCCAGGTCAAAGAATTGCCAAGACACTGAGCATTTGATGGGGTGGGGGGGGATAAAAGTCTTAAAGAGTTCCTCACTGAGATCAAGAACCCATGGGTTAGTTGTTACTCTGTGTAACGTAGCAGCTTTGGAGTGTAAGAGAAGTGATCTAATTAAGACAACGGATTTCAAACCAGCATGCCCTCTGTCCAGTACCACCAGGGAACTTGTTCTGTTTCCCACGACTCAAATTCTGTCTAGGAAGGGTTGTGTGCATGCATGTAGGATTGCGTGTGTACTGTGTGTGATGTTAATTTAAACAGGAGTTAACTTGGTGCTACATACATGTTCTAATTCTTTTGATTGCTCAGAACATTGATTTCCTTTCTGATCCACTTTAAGACTCTTTAGTATAGTCATATAAGTTGCAAATACAAAGATTGTTTGAGTGGGCTACATGCAAAAATTCTATAAAATTGACATAACAAGTTAAAATCTGATCCATGAATCCCTCCTAACGGCCATGCAATTTGACAAGTATGTACTGAGTGGCTATTATGGGCTCAAATCAAAGCACACAGTTGTATCACACATCTTAACTTTCTTGCCCAATCAGACTGTAATCAACATTCCCAAGAAGACTTACTTCCTTCATCCAACTCACCTTTAATATACCGCCAACACTCCGCACGTGTTTTTACGTGCAGAGACTTTTACAGCACCTATAAAATCTTTCATCGTCCATTTCATATAGAGTTTTAAAGTATCTCTTTTGCCTATGGAAGTTAACAGAACAAAAGCCAAGGGACCTGAAGGACCCGAACTCCCTTCTCTTTAGACTTACTCTTACTGACCCTGTTAAATGGGACTATTTGATCTATGCGTTTTGCCCCAGAGACCATGTAAGGATGGCAAACATAATTTAAATTCCAAAATCCATACTGGATACGTCCAATATCACCCAAAGCATAATAATTTGCTGTAAGGAGAAAAAAGGAGAAAAGGGGGTAGGGGAGCTCCTCCTATCAAACTACCAGCTTCCACATGTTCATGTATAACTCCTCCTTTCCTACTAGGACACTTCCTTCTCAATGAGGAATAGAGCAGAATTAGACATTCGTGTCCTGGTCCCGGTCCCCGGCCATCAGTAGCAACTTCACTAATCACTGTAACATTCATCTTCACTTTTCTCCATTATTCAGAATTCAGGATTAGGGTCTGGTCTTAACTAAACAACTGTACAGGCCCCAGACACCTAGCAATGACTCCTTCTTAATCATTATGCCTGAAGCCAGTTATAAGACACTTGGTGGCTAATAGAAGACCGGCCAGAGCAGTGTACCCAGGACTCCACAACCATCAGAAGCTTAGATCATCGGGAATTAGATCTCCCTTGTGACAACTGCTTGTATTCATGGAAAATGCCAGGGAGGGAGTCTGTTTCAAGGGATGCTACAGGTATCTGAAAGACGGAGTCAAAGATAATCAGGGTGTATTTCTCCCTCAGCTTTCAGCTTCAGTGTTTGTATTCAAGGATCAAGCAACTGCTACTCCCAGGACTCGTGGGCGAGCACTGAACACAAACACTGTAACATGCTGCATATCAAAACAGGGGTGAAACATGGGCAAAGTGTGGGATCCCTCACTTACGAGCTGTGTGGCCTTGAATGGACAGAGGATCTAACCTCACTGATTTTGTTGGGCCTCACCCATAAGGCTGTTACTGCTCACCTCATGGATAATGCCCAGCATGCCAGAGATCCTCAATAAATGGTACTACTGATGATCAGCGAAGTGTTCTTATTGTCACCTTTATGGTTTCTTCCTATCTACAGTCACTTTAAAAATCTCTTAAGGATCGTTTTTATCCTTCTTGGCAGAGTCGAGTATTATCCAGCTCGGGGAACATAAATTAAGCCAAAGCTGCTGGAGGTCAGTTAAGAAGACCCAAGGCCTTATAAAACTGGGAGCAATTTAGGCAAAGGAAATGCTTAATGGCTCCAGCTTCCAATGCGGTGAAATGTCCCTGACATCTGCAAGGGTGGCAGCGACCACCAAGTGAAAGACACCGAAGGGAGAAACCTCAGCCCATGGGAGAGGCTTTATATTAAAAGAGGGTATCACACACATCACACACATATAAACACAGATCAGGGTTAAAGATTAAGCAAAGAACCGGGGAAAGGAAAATTAAGAATGAAGCGGCAGGTCCACCCCCAACCCTCCCCACGCATTTCATCTGCCACAAGTCTGCTCAGTACAAGGGCTGAGCTATGGGACTGAAA